GGATACGTCGGATACGCCGGATGCGCGACATGTTCGCAATGAGATCTGCCTTTTACGGTGTACGGCACGACGCACGGTGTAACGCATCGGTGCTATCGGTGTTTCTTTAATTATTGATCACGTCACGTTTCAACGGAGGGGGAGGTTCAAGGGAGCGTACGGCGCTATCGTCTAACTATCGGAATGTGACTTGACCGTTACTTCACCTTCCTCCAGATCGAGATATCGCGCTCGAGAGGGCGATATTATTGTTCCCGGTGCTTTTATCGGCGCTATCAACGATCACCGGAAACTCCCCGGCCCTCCGTCCACCTGTGTTTTCGACTGCCGATGGTCCATTTGCACGTAGCCGCGCGCACACCTAGAACGCGACGAGATCGCGTTGCGGATTCGCGATCGCGAATGAAAATACGTCTCGCGGAGTAAAGAAAAATAAATAGAACGCCGGGGGTGGGGGAGGGCAAATTGATCGCCGGCTCAATGCTCGGTTTGATCGCGAATAATAAATGTCGTGTATTAACAAGAAGGAAGGAAGGGAATGCAGGCAGAGAGAAGGAGGAAACGGACTACTCAATTCTATCCCCAATCATGATCACACGTATATGTGCAGGAGAATCCATAAAATTTTACCCCATTCCTGAGATCATCTGGAGTAAAAACTGTTGATATATAAATGGGATCCATCTCGTAATCAAAGAGTTATACTAACTTGAAAATTGGAGGAAAAAACCTAGTTTTTTAAGAATTTGAGCAGAACAAAAGTTATAAATATAATACACTTTGGCAATTATTAACTTTTTAAATAACAAGTATTCTAAAACTATACTTTCTTTATGAATTCCTTAATTTTGCATTGTACAGTGATGGACAGAATGGTTGCGACACCTTTTTCAATGAGCTTAGGAACGCGCATTTAGATTCAGGTTTACGTTCCAAAACATTTTCTCCGAGGAAAATTTTACTTGAGAAATAGACCGAAAACAATGGCTTCGGAATGGCCATCGAGTAAAATACTCGTCGGAGAAGAAGATTTTGGAACGTAATCCTGAATCTAAATGCGCGTTTCTAAAATCACCACAAAAAAAGTATCATTACAGTGATGGACAGAATGGTTGCGACACTTTTCTTAGTTACGTTCCAAAATCTTCTTCTCCGAGAAGTATTTTACCTGACGGTTATTCCAAAACCATTTTGGGCGTTTTCAATGTATTTCTCAAGTAAAACTTTCCCTAGAGAAAATGTTTTGAAACGTAAGCCTGAATCTAAACGCGCGTTTCTAGACTCACTAAAAAGAAAGTGTCGCCATTCTGTCCATCATTGTACAGCCAAAGAAAATCGAAATCGACCGCAAGTTCATGACGCAGGGAAACTTTCGATTCATCATTACAGATACTTCGACAAAAAATTACGTAGGGTTTTTCTGTTGCACGGAGCAAGTGTGTGTATAGTTAAATAAGTCGTCCGTTTGTTGCAAAACGAACCGACACCAAGCATAGCCAGGAGAAATGGAAGCATAAACCTCCCATGGTACCGTGTCCCATTTAACGATATACGGATATTCAGAGAAAAGAGGAAGAAGAAGCACACTGTAATCGGAAGAGACACACTTAGGATTCACGTGCGCAGCATGGCAGAAACCAGACGGGTCCGGACGCCGAAATCTAGAAGCTTAAAACGATACGCGCGCGCAAGGCGCGTACATTCTGCCGGGGTGGATGACTATATTGACCCTGACGCAAGCTTAGCAAGTTTGCCGATAGTACCCTTTTCGGCGCGGTCGCTTCTGTTAATTTCATCCGTAGTGTTAGTGCTGTGACTTCAAGTAACCGGGCACACACGCTACGATTTAGCGGTTGGCCCATTGGTACATCGATCGCGCATCTGCTCAGCATAGTTCGCCCCCGGGCGGGTGCGAGGGGGCTGAAAGGGGTGAGGGATGAGGGCCAAATGCGGACAGGTGGGGCAGGGACTTTAGAGAAAAACGTTTACATTAGCGTGCCGGGTGCCTGGCCGCGAATGCAATAAAGCGACCAAAGATAAACTGTCGAATTGACCAAGTCGGAGAAATTGCCTCGCAATAACGCGCAATTTCCCGACCGAAACGCGGTGGTACGTCGGTGCTGCGCCGCGTCACTTTCTATTTTCGGCTATTTGCATTGTAAATAAAAAGTCACGAGTCAGTCTGCAACCTGTGTAAGGTTGCACTTTTCGAAATTCGCCGGTCGACCTGTGACACGAGATACGAGCCGAGCGAGTTGTTGTTTTTTTCCCCTCTCTCGTAAAAGTTCAAGTCACGCGTATTATGTTGCCAACAATGAGGTGCTCGCGTACCGCGGGCCTTTCATGCGGTGTAGCGTGAATTCGGGACCTCCCCGGAAAATAGGATCCAGATTAGAGGCGCTTTTACCTGAGCGACTCTCGAGGCGGAAGAATTGAGTCGAATCGAAACGAAACGACGCACCGCCTATTATTTTTCCGACGCGGGATTGTTCCATAATTCATAAAGTTTGTCGCGGCTCTCTTTCTGTCGGGTGGGATCTTCATAAACGATAACTTCGTGCTTGCGTTTGCCTTCCGAACGGAATCGGAGCTCCGTATGTGTCACTCCGAGAGCAAGTTTGCAAATCGTCTCTTTTATCCCGGCACTCCGTGGGAGCAGATTTGTTCGCTTTTCCCATTCGAGAATCGTTCTCCCTTTATCACGATGCTCCAGCATACGCGATCGGGCGATAGCGAGATCATTTCTTTCCCGGTCCTTTCGAATAAAACAGTTTTTTCCCCCGCCGTCGACATTTCCACGATAAAGTGGCACGCCCTTTTTTTCACCGCGGTCGATCCCTTTCATTTCTGAATTTTATCGCGGTCCGCAACGTATAAGCTGGGAAATCAATAGTAGCCAAAGACAAATATATTAGGTTGGTTACATCGTAGCGCGAGGAATATCTTTTAAATTCCGTAGCCGCTGCAAAAGTAGAGGAAAATTAAGAAGTGACCTTAGGGTGGTCGCGAAATCGCAAAACTGTCCAGCATTATGTTCTTTTTTTCTCATCGCCGAATCAACGTAGGGAATCATTTTTCAATTCTTTTCTCTGACTGATTGGTTAGATTTTTCCTAAATAAGCCTTTTTCTGAATTTTAATCAACTTCGAAAACTGCCAGTCTTCGGTAACATTTATTTCTCATAATTTTTAACAAAATTATAATTATTTAAAACCGAGCGTTTAAATTATAATCCATTTTTTCAAGAGATCGAAAAACGGTATGAAAATTGGTCTCGTATCTTTTTCCCAGGAAAGAGGTGTAGAAAAAACAAAAAAACATGATTTTACCGGAAAACGCTTCAAAGGTTTCGGTGCCATGTGGCGTCACGGTATTACGTCTCGTGCAATAATTTATTCTCTCTTTGTCTGTTATTTCAAATTAAAGATACAAACAGAGAATATGTGGTACCAAATGACAGTAGTAGCAATAGTGTGTGGGGCTAAGGCAGGCCCTAATGTTAAGATCGAAGTTCCTCCTCTAGACTTATGAAACTGCTCACCTGCCTTTTTTTTTCTAAATCCAGGTTCAAGAAACACACCAGGGTCAAGAGAGGATTTGTATCTTTTGCAAACAAATGCAGAACAGCGGCATAAAATACGAGCTGTCCTTACTTTACTGCTCCGCATAATCGGCAATCCTTTTGTTCAACAGATCCGAGTTTGTGTAAATGACAGTGACATGTTCTGTTAGAAAATTAATTCAAGTTTTCAGTCTGTCTTTATTATTGAATCCCCTTGTATTATTTGGTAAAGCGTCTTTCATCAGCGTACTGGGTAAAAATATCAAATAAAACTTTAAAACAAGTTTCGTTCGTGCTTCTAAATCAGTCGCTTCTAACTATTCAGACCGAATTACATGTTCAACCTTTTGTTTCAGACATTCAAACATATTCGAAAACTATTTCACATAATTCAAAATGTGCAAGAAATAGGAGAGGAAAGTCCTATTATGATATAGGATTCTCAATATGAGATAGTAGGTTTTCAACGTTCAAATTCAATGACAGATCTTTTTTTCACAACGATCACACGATCTAACAATCAATTTTCCACCAAACATATTTCACTCCAAGGGCAATAAATTCATGGAACCAACAGACGATGCTTATTGATGTAGTACTCCGTTATCTCATATTAGGTGCCTGTCTCGTAATAGGGGACCTTCCCCTACATCTTTTCTTTAAAAACAATTTCTTTTAAATGGATTTTGACCATTTCGACCGAATGCATTCTTCTGTTTAACGATCTGAAAAAGTAATTACAATTTAACTACGGTTTCCATGATCTTTCGTGAGTTAACGAAGAATTTACTTCTAATTAGTCGAGAAACCTGCGGCTCTTACAGTAAGCATGCTATATCTGCACGTCACACGATAGTGGACGAAAAAAAGTAGGAAAAGTAGTCGAAGAGAAGAAGACTTCATCTTTGTAGATTTCTTACGGTCTTATCTCTAGATAACGTTGCGTTACTGCAAATTCTGTTACTTCGAATATTTACTCGAAAGTCTGATCCCACATCTGATAACACGATAATTTCTGTAACGCGCTTTCGCAAAGCTTTAGCTTATAAGTACAAGGGGAATACGTTGCTAAGAGAATTCTTAACTGTTATCAGAATTCTCAAGTTATTGTATATTGAAACTGCGCAAATTGATTCTAAAGTAAAATAAAATGTGAGATAAAAAAAATTGGGAAACAAATTTCGAGTTGTACTTTGCCAAGGATCGGGGTTTTCTTCCCCCTTTTCCAAGCGTTTTGGAAGATTTCTGAAGCAGCAGCTATTAAATGTCGTACGCATGGATCTTTCAGTATGGCAAAAGTGCCTGAGATAAATCGACATTCTCGGAAACACACTTTGTTATCTACAAATCTGCCGACGTTATTGTCTTATCAGATTTAACAAGTGCGATACCTCATAGCGCACATATTAACAAAAACATTGAACGTTGCATTGCGCGGACTAATTGAAAAGAGCGAACTTATTTGTTCAGTGTGTGCGAGGGCCGATTGAGTGGATCCGGAAATTATCTGTCGATATAATCGCTTCGATAATTCGGATTATCTTGTCGCCGTTATATATTGTTATAGCTGTTTGATCGCGTCGACGTCCAGATCAGTCGTCAATGCGGTCTTGAGAACGGACCGAGGGTCGGTCATCGCATGATAATGGAGCCAAGTACTACGACGGAGTCCAGGAAAACGTCCCAGGTTAGTTATTTCTCTATACAAACACGTCTTAGTTACGTGCCGTGATTAATTGCTTCAACGATTTCGCAACACAGAAGAGAAGGAAGCAGGTCAGAACTTGGCTTCATTTCTTATCACTGGAATGCTATGAATACGTCCTCAGACGTATATGCGGATTGCCTATAAATATTTTCCTATATTCGTCGAAATGCAATCAGTTCTCGCGTTAAAAATAATTTGGAATCTAACGTCGATGTATAAAACATCCGTACCCAAACTAAGTTCGGATGCGAGTAAATGTTTTTACCTCGATCGTTTTTGTATTTTTCGTAAAATTATTCTTCAGAGTTTCGTATATTCATCGGAAGATTAAGACAAACGTTTCTAGAAATTTCTTTGTAGACATAAAAGAACGTTAATGCCCATCTTTCGCACTAGGGCATTTGACGAGAAAGCTTAGCAGCGGAGATAGAACAGAATCGATCTTAATCTTTTCACGTGAGAGCGATCACTTTATTGCACTTTCTACAAATAAATTGATAAAATTAGAATTTTTTTTAAAATTAATTTCGTGACCAAAACGTTTAACTTTTTTTGTACACTTATGATACCACCTCTTTAAGATATATACATATACTTTGAATCTTATATTTATTATTTATCACTTTCTATCCGGTGACGGCTTCCATCGCCCCCAGTGTCTTTCTTTTCTATCATTTTAATTATTAAAATCAATTTTGCATTTAAAACATTAATACAATTCCTCACTACGCAATCTTATTTTTATTCGCCCCGTGGTTAGATTAAATATTTTCGCTGTTGAGGTCAAGGGATACATTTGAGCTGATTCGAGCGCACATCTAATCTCGCCGAATCGGTGTTGAAGTCCGCCTTTCTTCCCCGCAGTTCTTCTCGGCCGTTCACGTGTCCGCAGCGTGCCGTCAGATCTTTCTACCGTCGACTTGGCGATAATTTATATGATGCAAATATAATGTGCTCCGCGTGTGTTATTGGCAGGTGAAGAGGGTTTCTCTCGGAGTTGGCGGCGTTTTGGTGGTGCACCCAGACGAGCCGAAGCGAGGCGCTTGGGCCAACCAGATCGAATTTATTCTATCCTGCATTGGGTATGCCGTTGGCATCGGCAATGTTTGGCGTTTCCCTCTTTTCATATATCGCAATGGCGGTGGTACGTACGCGCATGTAACTGTGGGCCACGTGTGTATCTGTCCCGTGGTATATATGAGAAATAGGTATACACATGCTTCTCAGATGTGACCGTCGAATTGTACAGAGTGTCCCAGGTCACGACGAAATTGCGCGAGCATGTTAAATGGATTAAAGTGAAAGAAAACGTTGCATAAATACATGAGCTCATAAGTGCCCGGTTAAAAAATTATAACAGAGATTCAGAGTGTGTCGACAATATTTTTATTCCTCCGATCCGCTTATATTTGAGCATTGTTGAATGGGGGTTTCTGCAGATTTATATTTATGCGAATCGTTTTCTTGCCTTTACTTATAAAACACGCACAGTACAGTTTAGTTACAGTTTGTTAAAACTTGGAACGCTCTGTATATCATACTGCGACGCGTAAGGTATCTTCGTTCTTACACGAGGCGTCGAAAAATTATAGATACAAACTTCGAATAACTGATACGTAAACTTTAAGATTGCGCGCCGGGGATTCAAACATAGTCGCAATAAATAAGGGCTTGGAGAGATTTTTTGGCGCTGCAAAAGTGATACAGAACAAGTACTTTTTAATTAATAAAGTAGATTTCAGTTATCAAACTCTTTAGTTATCTATTCTAAGATAGTACTACTAATATTGTAGTGGTGCGTTATCTTCTTGAAATTTCATTCTCACAAGAAAAAATTTTCAAGTGATTGGTTGCGGAAAAAATAATATGAAGTAATATCTTTGAAACAGATAAGTTTCAAACGCAATAATATTAAAGAAGAATAGGAGGTTTGTACAGTGAAATCGAAGGTGAAATTTGCGAATTTATTTCACGAAAATGAGTAAATAGAGCTAGTTCTTTCTTTTATTATTTACTACTAGAGTAAAGTTTCCTGTTATGAAATAGACTGCTAATATGAGATAGCGGGATTTCTGTTAAATTAATAGGCATCATCTGTTGGTTCCACCATGAACTTATTGCTCTTGGAGCGAAATCTTTTTAGTGGAAAATTCATTGTTAGTTGCGTGTTCGTGTAATTGTTGCGAAAAAAGATTTGTGATTGAATTCATATAATAGAGGATTTTCCTCTATATTTATAAATATTTATAAATGGAGAAAATGAATACAAAACTTATTAAAAGGGATAGAAGTTTTCTAATTTCTATCATAGATAGGCCCAACAATTTCGAATGTCTTGCGTTTTCGTAACTTCTAAGGAAGCAATCTGCTATTTTCTAGTTTAGTTTTTCCCAGAACACATTGCTCTACAGATTGAAAAATCTAAAACAGACAGAAAAGTTACAAAATGGTAACAACATAAAACTAATTTTCGCATAAACATTGACATTATTTATAACAATAAGACGGAAACACCGCAATTTCTATAAACTCCATTGTAAATTTAGTTAGTAAAGAAATGTACAATAAATAACTCTTGTAAAGCTCAAGTCGATATCTACCTTGGTTGCGAGTAACGCTGGCGAAACTTTTGAAAAATGCTGTTTTCGAGAAAATGCGTTTAAAGTTTGAACATTACGTGTTTAGGCGACGACGTAAGACTGAATTTTTCAAACGCAATAATACAGAATTGGTTTAACAAGACTTTAGAAACACCCTATATGGCTTTTCTAAAGAAATATTCCTCCTATACTACTGTACCACCGTATAACAATAATATCACGATAAGAAGAAAACTAATATAATTCGAATATACTTACCTGATTCGGATTCGAGTCCAAATAATACTCTTCTGTTTTTTTGCGATACATAAAGAATTCGAGTTCATTCGATCCAGATTCGAGTTTATTTGAAAGTACTGTTTTAACGATAAAAAATCATAGCGAGATCGAGACGACGTTAACGGGTGAAAATCTACTTGTACGGTACTATTTGACGGATTTTTAGCAAATTTGATATTAATTTGATGTACGTTGTAAGTCTTAAAAGAATTCAAAATCTCCAAATTGATGTAAGAAGCTGTGATAATGAATTATTTGTTCTAGGCGCCTTTTTAATACCCTTCATTCTCATGATGATCACGATGGGTCTACCCATATTCTTCCTGGAGCTTTCCATGGGCCAGTACACTGGACTGGGTCCCATAAAGGCTTTCAGTCGTATGGCGCCGGCTTTTCATGGCCTTGGACATTGCACATTGGTCGTCATCTTCTTTGTGCTGATATATTACATGATAATAGTCGCGTGGACTTTATTCTACACTTTCGCTTCTTTCTCGTCAAAACTCGCCTGGGCGTACTGCGACAACGATTTCAACACGAACGGTAAGTAAAACTAGACTAGCACGTTTATAAACATTTAACTTATCGTCGTCGCACTTAAACAAGCAAAGATTTAACGAAACTTTAACTTTGAGAAGTTAACTGCTACCGTGACTAAAAACGTCTACCAGCGCGGGAACATAAGTTCTTGAGCACTGCTATTAGCTTTTATTGTTATTTACATTATTTGAGTGAGCACAAAGAGCGATTTATATGGAATAATCTAATCAAAAAGTATTTTGGGTCGTTAAGGCACCAATCGACGCGTTTCGTTATACGAAGTAATGTAAATTGGCGTCATCTATTACATAACTTGGGTTCTAATCTAATAGGACAGCCTTATAAAAAGAGGCTATTGACGGAGCAAGGGATTAATTATTATCTCACGGTTCGTTTTTGAACTGTGCGTTTAATACTGATGTCGACAGATTGTTACAGCAGTCTTCAGAATGCAGAATGTCAACAGCAAAGTAATGAAACTATATTTTACAATAAGACCTGCATGGACTTTCACACGGTCTGTTCCAGCTTGGGCTACAACGGTGTCAATACCACCCACTGTTTCCAGCCACCGGATGGCGAGATCAAATTAATAAGTGAACTCTACAACCGAACACTGTCGTCCGAGGAGTACTTCAGGTACGGTATATATTGCCATCAGCGCTGCATCGTGTCGAGAGGATCGGTAACGAGCCTTACGCCGCTGTTCAGCGTTGAGGAGCGAGACAAAAATTGTTGAGGATCTGCAAAGCGTGTAATTGTCGATCGCGTCCAGAGACTACGTTCTCGGCCTGCGCGGAGCCACATGGGACAACTTCGGCGGCATACGATGGGAACTATTGGGATGCCTCTCGCTTGCTTGGATAGTGTGCTTCTTCTGCCTCGTACGCGGTATCCAGACTATCGGCAAAGTTGTCTACTTCACCGCGCTCTTCCCTTACGTCATTCTTACAATTCTGCTAGTACGCGGTAAGAAACGAAAGCAGACTTTCCCGTAACTATGTAATGTTAAACGATTTCCTAAATACATATATACCAAGTGATATTTGAAGACCGTTTACTAATTACGTAGCGCTATCGAAACACCATCCTACATAGTCTTATTAAAAATTGAATTGAAAAGTCTTGGACATTTTTTTCCTATGATGCTTAAAGTAATTACTGAATACAGTCAATTCGATCAGCAACGGTGTGGCGCTCAAGCAACAGTGGCACGACTCACTGACACCCGGAACGACAGTGCTGATTGGATTGACTTTATTCAATAATCATTGCTTTATTAGGCATGATCGAAGAAAATGGTTCAGGACTTTTTGTCTAAATTTTTGATAAGAAATAGCACTATGTAATTAGTGGGTGATCTTCAGCAAACACTCTGTATATTTGGGTTAATCCGTTAGATACATGCAACACCTGCACGGTCTACGACCTGTTGTTAGTTTTTAGATGGATAAAATCATCATTCATAAGATTCTTTTCCAAATATTCTGGAATGTAATTTCTTAGCTACAAATTTCATAAAAGTTCTATTATTTCATCTTCAAACTTCTTCTATGTACCAGCGACTTTTGAGTGCAATAAGGATTCTTGATAACTTGCTTTAACGACGACGAATATTCTTGTTCACACTTGTAATATTGATCATTCTATTATACGACATTTATTTTAATCACGTAAAATATTCCCGTCGTTTTTCAAAACAGGGTAAAGTATAGTCAAAATTAGGATGTAGTCAAAAGTTTTACTCCAAAGCAGATGGATGCGAGTTGCAGAATAATGGAAATACCTAGTAATAATAGTTGCGTCACATCCGATATAATTGAATTGTACCGCTCAGTGAGATTTGCAAAGATGCCGGAGGTTCGTGACTGAGGGAGATAATTCCGTAGGCGTTACGCTGGAAGGCGCTGATTATGGCATGCTGTGGTACATATATCCCGATTTTACGAAGCTAGAAAACGCAAATGTGTGGGCAGACGCAGCCTCTCAAATCTTCTATTCACTCGGCATCGCCTGCGGATCCCTGGTGACTCTTGCAAGCTACAGCAACTTCAGCAACAATTGCCACAGGTGCGATTATACTAAAACGGAACGTGTGCATCTTGGTCGAAAGGAAGAAAGAGAACTGGGTTGTTCGCGAATGTAGGATACCTTTAAGAGCAAAACGTTAAGAAAGAGGCAGCCCTTAAAAAGCAGAATGTCTGGTTTTATACACGTCCATCCCATAGGATGGCGGTACGAATTCGTCGCGCATTCGATCGCGCGAATAATTTATCGCAAGACGTGTATTTAATTAACTACACTGACTAAGCACTTCAAGTGCCTATTAATCTTCTGGTTCATCGTTCGGCGACGTTTCAGTCTCTTTACGACACGGCAATCGTTGCATATTTTATTTTAACTCGGGACTCGACGACGTCGTTTCCGTGACGGGCGGTAGCCGGATGTCGTTGCGACAGCTGGAGTAATTCCAAAAACTAGCTCGAGTATAACATATAATAACAACAAATTTGTAGGGCTAAGGACAACCGTTGTAAATAATTAAGTACATAATGATTTGACTAATAAGAATGATTTGCAAATATAACACCGCAATCGTAACAGTGTTCTTGTCTCTATTGAACAATAATTTTCTCGTAATATTCTCGAAAAACGCATGCGTTTCTGTACCTAAAGAAAGCACGAATGTCCTGTATACACAGATATAAGAAAAAAACGAGGGATATACAATACTTTGGGATTGTATAGAAAAGCAGGGAACGGTTCGATACAGTTATGTATTAGGAGAACCTGTCGTTCCTCTTTCAGGGGGGGGGGGACAGAAATAAAAGCGTTCCTTTTAAAGCGGCACAATTGTTCTTTTCTGTACAAGGAAAGGCCCAGAGGTGAAAGTTCCTTTTGCAGAAATTTCTAGTGACACTATATGTGATAATTGGAGCTTTGTCTTTCTATTCTCAGGGACGCTATCATCGTCACAGCCACCAATCTATTTACATCTGTTTTTGCCGGCTTGGTGATATTCTCGATACTCGGATTCCTGGCCACGCAGATGAAAATGCCGATTGAGAAAGTGGTCCAGAGCGCCGAGGGACTGGCTTTCATCGCTTATCCGGAGGCGGTGGTGCAAATGCCGTGGTCGAATCTCTGGGCCATTCTGTTCTTCTTCATGCTCTTCATACTCGGCCTCGGTAGCCAGGTAAGCACGCGAGCGAAAAATATTATTGCACGAACATTTAAGGAGGCTATAAAAGATTTCATATCCATTTTCGTGCAAGCAAAAACCGCTTCCGCTCTTCGTCACTTACGGTGATGAAAAAAAAATACTTATTAATGCGATGAGCCCGGCTGAGATAAGGGTGGCGGGGCGAAGAGGGAGGACGCGGAGAGAACGAGAGATGTGAATTTCAATTTTCCTTCGCATAACGAGAAACATCGCCGCGCTAACTGCATTTGTTCCGACGAGTTGTATATTTGCAAGATGGCCCGACTTTCGCCTTCTTGCACTTCGCGCGACTCTCTGGTTATATCTAGAGTAGTGTAACGGCCAAGCAGTGGAACAAAATAGTACGTGCGACATGTAGTGATCACGCGGCTCGAATTTCTCGCGGTGTAACACAGAATTTTTAAACAACAGAATTTTTATTTCAATGGAAACATAACCGTGCACGAACAAATATGCCGAGGGAAAAATAATTTTATGTCAGAGCATTAGTTTTCTGGTAAAAAGCATAATTGGACCAGTATTTTGTTCCATTGTTCTCTAGCAATAAGGAGGATGGACCCAACGAGTCGTATTGAGTCGCGAGAAGCAGGCTTTCAGTCTTACGCTCTGCAAGCTTATAAGATCGTATATAAACTTCCATGCTGTCATACGCGGCGCTATAAATGTTAATCTTTAAATTAATAAAATTCGTACGGCTCAAATGTGATAAACACAAATTTGAAGGAATAAAGGACTAAGAGCCGTGACAGGGTGTTAGTGTCTAAATATTTAATTCTAAATTTATTGCGAAAAAATATCACCTCAGCCAGGATTTGAACCTGGCCCTCCCTCTCGCTAGGCGGGTGTCTCAACCAATTCGACCACCGAGGCACGTGGCAATATACATCGCAATAAACAGTCTAATGTTGATTCCCGAATGCCACCTATCGCGACTGTATTCGAAAACGAGAACTGCGCGCCGACTTAAATCGTCAGTCTTAAAACACAGTACAATCGTCCCTACAATGTATCCCCATTACGCTCCCACCCGACCAAATCTTTAACTTTCGCAATCGTTGCGAACTATGCAGTCGAATATCGGCCCTTTCGTACAACCTAATATATCGCAAGGTCCTTCGGGTAAACCAGTTTCTCCGCGCGTGTGGTTGCGCAAATAGATCTTTGCAGTTGTAACGCGTTGGCTAAAAAGAGTTACAAAATAGGCGGGAGATACGGTCACGGTGTGCGCCAGCCTCGACATCGCTCATCGACATGGTTATTTCGCGGGGATTTCACATCCGTCCCGACGCTAAGAAGGCGCCATTCAGAAAGCCCTGAGAAACGGTCGGCGTATTTGTCAAAAGGCGCCGCGGGCGAGAGGGATGCAAGCCTCATCCCGGCGAGTAGCCGGACGGCGATCGTTTCGCGTTGCTTTTGCATCGCGAGACTCCCATCTTTTCACCTCGGGGCTCGTATATCACGGAAGGAATTATGGCTCGCCGTCTCAGAGTGAAATCTACACCTTCTTCGCCTCCTCGAGCGCGTCAGCTCCCGTTCTCTTCCCGTTTCCCCGCGGCTCGTTGATGGCGCCGAAACGCAGCCACGAGCGAGCGAAAAATCGCAAAAGGTGCCGGCCATGAATCTGGTATACGAGTACAATCGCGAGCGAGTGTTCGTTCATTACAATGCAAATGATCGGGAAAGGGCTCGGTTTGGTTTCTTTCGACGCCTTCGCGTCTAAATGTAGACGTTTTCGAGTGGAGAAACGCGTACTTATTGCCTACGAGAATAGGGGTGAACGAAAAAAAAAGAGAGACGTAGAAACAGAAAGTAGGAAAGGAAGAGAGGAAATGGGGCACGATGCGCGCGGGGAGAGCCGAAGAAGGAGGAAAATGCGCGGCAGCGGTCGTTACTTTTTACGATATAGTTCGCAGGCGTGCAAGCGATAAACACCGCCATACTGGACAGCCGTCCGGATTTGCGAAAATACGAGAGTTTCGTGGTGCTGGCTATATGCGCTACCTGCTGGCTCCTGGCGATTCCGATGGTATTCGATGGCGGTATCTACCTATTCAAGCTGATGGACTGGCATACTGCCTCCTGGGCTATCCTATTGATCGGCTTCGCCGAACTCATTGTGCCCGCCTGGTTCTACGGGTGCAAAAGATTTTTGGCAAATGTTGCCGAAATGAAAATGAAATTCGGCCCTTTCCTCCATAATTACTGGAGGCTCTCCTGGGTTGTCCTCGCACCCCTCACTTGCCTGGTAAGTCCATTTTGTCTACCGCGGTGTCTTTGTTACTCGTATTTTCGCCGTGGAATATCTACCAGGGCAGCAGTTTCAGGTAGAAAGGGCCACCTCAAAGGATCTCGACATCGGATCTTGAGATTTCAATAGCAAATTTAAACCTGCACCGTCATGGTGCATTGAAGTTTCTTAAATTTACCAAAAAGGTCTTTAATGTTTTGTTACTTTCATGAAATTTTAAGTACTAAATAATTTCTTGGCTCGAACTAGTTCTCTTAATTCAGAAGAATAAAGTCGAGTCTTACGTGGTCGTCGGCGTGTGTAATAGCTAATTGTATGCAATCACAGGAAAGTGTTTTACTTTCAATAAAAAATTGAATTCGGACAACGTTGAAACATTCGATCCATTACATAATCAATGTATTTACTGATAAAATATGATTGATACGCATTCTTCACATCTGTCACGAAATTGTTAAAAGTACCCGCGCTTATTATTGAAATCGATGGTTAAACCTTTTTGGTGGCGTGCGAGACAATGGAACGGGTAATATAGACCGTGACTCTGCGTCACCATGATTTCTCATTGTTATTGAAATAAGTTATTATGTTCCTTAACTCTACACGATCGCGAATGAACTACGCAACAATTAAAACTTTAACGATGGCTCCAATGTATATCGCTATGATACAATCGGCGGTAGTATACGAAAGGGAGACGATGCTTAATCCCGCCGAGGTAAGGAGCCTACGTTTATTGACTGTAAACTTTGCGGAAAGTTTAGCGACACAGTGAGAGAGAATAAACCGTAAATTAGTCCCGACCTATCGCGTGGAGACGATTAATCGAATTTATACGGAAAGTAATGAAACTGAAGCTTTAGGTTATCGATCGCCGAGGAGCTTGTTAAAGTGGAGTAACGCATGAGCTTTAAAAATATTTCGACAATTTTTCAACTTGCACGGGCTACTTTATAATAAATATTGAATAGTTTGTCGGAAAACCCGTTCCGTTTAAAAGTAACGTGATTGTAGGCACTTTTGCAAATAGTTACGAAGCTATAAAAAGTTAATAAAAGTATTTTTTTTAGTAATATGATAAATTTACACATAATAATCTCAAAGTAATCTCATAGTCGAAAACCTACATGACAAATAGCAATTTGATGTTATCCCTAACGGCAATAATTTGAACAATCTTTAGAATGTATTTCTATCGTCTATATTTTCTAGATCTTGGTAAGAGAAACGGTATCGTCTTATGTCAAGTATATTTTTCTTTTAAGTAAAATACATCAACGAGATGCTACCTAAAAGTTCTCTAAATTGGGTCTCACTCAACATATGGTCAATTCTGTATCTTACAATACAGTGAAAATGCTAAAAGCGAGGGGACGGTTAAACCTAAGGTCTAATCTTAGAAAGAGACAAAGTCACTTTGAGCATTTTCACTACATCGTAAGATACAGAATTGACCCCCCGGAGTGTGGTACGGAACTGTGTTGCTACGCGGCTCCTCTATTGTCATTAAGGAACTAGTCTAGCGCTTCTCGCTACCACGGAAATCAGCATTTGTTTATATTATGCATTTTTATCAAGTTATGTTTGTGATGTTCCGCGATTGCCGACATGACTGACTCGAAGGAGCAAGGAGCTTGTATTAAATTTTGTTTTAAACTTGTGAAGACAGTAACAGAGACTCGCCAAATGTTGAAACAAAGTGTTCCCCAAAATGGAAATAAAGCTCACGGGGGAACGATTTAACACGGAAAGGAGATTCAAAGGGTATCGCAGGACGTGCTGCTAATGAGACTAACGGAAAATGACTTCCAGTAATGTTTCTGAGCTGTAAAATCGCGGTGGGACTGATGCATCAATGCAGCAGGCGATTAAACGATGAAATCAATCCTTTTTTTATACGAGTATGATTTTTAATAAATAAATTTCGGGAACTTTTGGGTAGCGCCACGTGTACTAGAAACATTCTTATATCTTATACTGTACAATTTCCTTTAAATACTCAGAATCCACATGTGCTGTTAGAGTATGTGTCCATTTATGCGAGAATATTTTTATACATTTGCATATATTTCAATTATTTAATAGGAGTTAAATATCGTATTACAATTTACATTTAAATTAGAGATCTGAGTTGTTATTGATGAATAATTTGTGCGTTTATTAATACAACAGAAATAAGAAGAGATGGAGAATTTACTGAAAATATATTTTTCTTTTTACTATTATTAAATAACATTTATTTATTTATTATTGTACTTTCAATTGTTACAAATTAGAAAATTACAGATTAAGTAATTAAATATTACTATTTTTGAATATTATTTCTTGTTGTTTTGAACTTTTACGAATTAGAAAGAGTAATGCATTATATTAATTTTTTTCTTTACTTCTATTGGACTTTTAGGCAAGATTACCAGGTATAGGTTCGCAAAACAGCCCTGCGGTTCGTATCCCTTGGAGACAAAGCATCGTATTCCCAACGACCAAACTGCTTAATTAATCTGGCTGCCTGTCGAGGCGTGCCGAGCGAATTTTTATTTATAACGGCTGAAATTTTTCGTCCGCGCCGTCGCGGGGATCGAAATATTTCCCTCGACGGCCGCCGAACGGCATGGCGAAAGTTAGTTTTGATTAAAAATTCGAAATCTCCCTTAATTGATAATTGCGCCATACTATCGCATACGCACATATATTGTTTACCGCAGCTCAGTCCCAGCTGCTATATGAGAAACCAAACAACCAATCCAATTGTCCTTCGCCCGCAGGGGATCTTTGGATACCAACTGGCTCAAACTGATTTTCGCGGAAGCTACGGCACGTATGTATTTCCCGACTGGGCAGGAGCACTTGGAATCGGAATTGGACTAGCTACCTTGGCACCAATGCCAGTCTTCTTTGCCCTGAAAGTCTGGAAGACCGGGGTGAGTCAGTTGTTCCCAAATAAAAGATCTTGGTAGTTTTCGTTGACCTACTAATATTTGTCTTCGAGCTCAGGTAGAATTCATGCAAGTTGGACGTCACGCCTGATTATGAAAGATTTTCTTAAACCAATTTTATGGCTTTTTTTTCTCCTTCTTACAAATTCCAGGCTTCACTTTATTGTTGGATTATTGACGACGGTTAACAGTTTGTTTGCTCTCCTTAGATAGATAAAAAAATGCCAAAGTCTAATATGTCAATGTATTTGTCGCGCCTGTCTTGTCTACATTGCTTTACGAAAATTTATGAAGACGAAAGCGTCTAAAGATGCAATAACAATTTTTTGTGTCTTATCTTTTGAGAGAATGACTCACCAGAAATATTATTAATTATTATTACTTTTCATTCCAACTTCATGGACATTTTATTAACAAAATGTAATGCAATCAATGTAGTTAAATAATAATACTCTTTTTACTTTTTCTTTTATTTTTAAATAGTGCTCTCTTAAATTATTTTAATTTCGTGCTCATTACTTTATTCTAATAGCTGTCTTTAATAGCTCTGTCCGTAATTATTTCTGTCTGCATAAATTATTACAATATATCCACAAACATACACCTAGTGAAATATGTAGATCTATTTATTTGCCTTTATTTAATTAATTCAATTCGTTTAAAATTAAAAACATTTATTCGTTTATTCATCATTCAGTCATTCCATATTAAGTAATTCTTGAAACATTTTTGACATTGTTAAAACATCAGAAAAGTAAGATGTGTATGTATATTCTGCGCGAAATAAGAAGAATAATTGACTTTAATCAATGATACAGATACGACGCACTATGCATTTAGGGCTCAAAAAAATAATTTATTTTCTACAAAGGACACATTTATCAAACAGACGTGAAAGGCGACTCTCTTTCAGAGAAAAGTTTAAGTTGAGATTTCTTAATAATCAGTATTCTCCTTTGTTGCTTAATGACTTACTGGTTGGCCGTCTTCAAGAAAGGAAGATTGTTTTATTGGTAGGATCGGGTCATTAATTTTCGCTAATGAGAGGGTAGGGAGTGGCCGCGGAATCATTGGATCTCCCAAACAATTTTGACCAACTTGTCTCATTTCCTACGTATGCGATCGATTAATTAAACGAGAGTAAAAACTTTCGCCATTACGCATCCGGCATAAAGAATGTTATGAATTATTCTTATTAGGTAGTTTACTGAAGTCAGTCACCTAACTTAGGGGATATAACGCATAAGAAATTGGTTTCCGTCCAAAACGGAGAACTTGTGGTATATTCCAATGTCCTTGCTGCGTTATTGCATCACGCTATTCCCGATATCTCGATTAGAGAGCGCGAATCTCCCGAAAGCTACGTGCCACTGTCGGCGCGGTAGCGGTTACGGGCCGATTTAGAAGTTGCGGTCCGCGTCGTAAAATCTCGAGAACTCGGGGAACGTCTTAATACAAGTTTTTCCACAGTACGTTGGTAATCGTACTTTAAAACGAAAAGTTTTCTTCACGGTGGGGAAGGGAGCCTGCCACTCTCCATTGCTTCAGGTATACAGGGCCGCCGGATGCCAGTGTGCAAATCGTGCGCATCGCACAAAGGGCGCGACCGTACAAAGAGAGAGTCGCCAATTGCGAGTTTTAACGAAATTGAAAATACACAAATTGACATATGTTTAAAAGAACATTTTACGGGATTAAATTTTTTGATTAAACCGACGATCCGCTATACGTGCGGACTTTTGCCGACAAATGGAGGGCATTGTACTGTATAAATTGTTTTGCAAATAAATGCGCGAACATTGCGAATCTTTATAGTGAATTTTTTCGCATTTTTAAATTGTGAAATGTCAATTTTGTATCCTGCAAAAATCCCGTTGTTTTTTTATTTGCGAACAGAGGTGCTAAATAAAATTCTGCATCAACACTTTTGCGCAGGACGCTGTATTAAAAATATTACAAGCTATTTTCTTTGGGGAAATTTATTACAATTCAATACGATGGATAAATATATCCTTTACCATCTTAGAGTTCACTAGAGTTTTTTTTATTTCATTTAAATAACATGACATCATATCCGATGGACCGTACAGGCAAGAAAACGTATTAATTCCTAAGAAAAATAATTCGTGATATTTTTAATTTTACTGTATGTCAACAATGAGAGAGCGGCCCTGTGTGGACTGTACCTATTTCTACGAAGAGAAGGAGGGAGAGTAGGGAGGGAGGGAGGGCAGGCTGCCCTTTTCCTTGACCGCTTCCGCTTTCTGTTAGCCGATAAATTTAACATTACTCTTATCTCCCTCTCCCGTTGTTTTCGGGCGTTCCGCGCCCACACTTCGAAAGTACTTGTGCGGTTTCGCGCAAGGAGATATGACCCCGCGGGAACGTGAACGGCGCCGGCAGCACGTATCTCGGCCATTATCGGATTCGCAACAATTTAATTTGTGCCCTTTTAATTGTTCGCAGGAGTTCTTCAGTCTATTTCGGCCAACGTCGTTATGGAAGGCGGCCGAGCAGAAGGATGGAACAGATACGCTGGACAACAATAGCGTCGACACCGCGATGGTCAATCCGGCGTACGTTCCTTCGGATAAAGTTTAAATTTCATTAGTTGGCACACGCAATAAGTGCCGGCCTTGAAATACCTTGAAGAAATAGCGAAATATCGGGTGCTTTGAGAACGTTGTTCTCTAATATCGCAATTTTTAAGAAGGCAACTCATTCCGTTTTAGGAATAAGTTACTTTCACCTGGGAATAGTATGTCAATAAATCAATATGATGCGGAATATAATTAATGAATAAGTTTGTGCATTGCGCAGTCGTATCTTTCGACAAGCTTGTTCAGCTTAATTTTAATTTTCTGAATTATTTAACTACAAGGAAAATATTTATTTTTGGACAATACCCTATTTACCGAGAAATGTTTCAGTACGTCAATATGTTTTGCTGTAATTATGTGCATAAAACACAAAGAATACAAAGGAAGTGATGTACGTTCCCAGACATGAAAATAGGCAATAATATTTTATTTCATTATTCTAAATTTTATCATATGATCATGCGGTGAGAACGAAAAAGTTAACATTCCTGATATATGTATATCAATTTATCATTCCCGTATGATATTAGACATATGAACATTCGCATTTTATGTAAAAACCTTTAATTTAATACATCTATGTTAAAAAAACACGCGGCATGTTTGTTTATTCCTCTAAGAAATTCACTTCTAAATTAATTAATTAGTTTACACATTCTTTTAGGTGCTTCAATTAAGCAATAATTTATCAATTAACTTAGCAATAATTTATCAATTTTTAGTAAAATTATCTTCTGTCACATTAAATTGAGGGGTAATTTTTGTACTATTTATATTTTGATGCAATTATAAAATCGATGCAAATTTTAAGAACAACTAAACTGTTATGACGTTAGATATTTGTGATAGTAGTTTTCTACAGTCACACATATTAAGTATAGTATTAAAAAATGTAATTATAAAATAATTTGCGCGGAGATAGATGCGGGTCGCAGACCGTCGCTCGAGTCAACAAAGCAACGTTAGAAAAGCGAGGACTATTCCGCTGCTGCGCGCTGTCCTTCCTGCTAATTAATATCAGCGAACACGGCTACTACTCGGGATTCCGTGTCTCTGCATGCTGTAATATCAGACGAGGTGGCCGCTTATAAGCTGCCTTATGGGGCCGCGAGCGGACGCGACGAATACGCGCATCTCTAATGAAAATTACAAGCGGTTGGCATCGCGCTGCGCCGTGTACTGTGTATGCCGATCGATGTGAGGGATTTGGCACCGCGAGACGCGTTGTTACACTAATGTGGAAAATGTCGAAAGAGGCTCGCATAATTTGCACAATGGAATAACGCTGGATCCAGCGGCAGCAATAATGTCTACCGTCGCGGACTCGAAGGGGCGGACTCTTGGAATGCATTAAAGGGATGCTGGAGTGACGGCTGAACTTCGACAGGATAGTTTGAAAATTTCGAAGACACAATGCGATACAAATTACACTTCAAACCTCAATGTTTTTTATAGGATCCTAAAACCGCTGGCGAACTCGATCGGTGTCGATAAGATAGAAGACGGAATTAAAAATGTCAATTATCAACATTTGTAATTCCAAGTTCACGGTGCTAGAATTCGGTTCGAGAAACTTATAGCCAATCAATTTGCAACTTCTACGAAAAAGCAGCAATTTTATTAGCTACACATTGTTCAGACCGAGATTTTGGATCGAATTCTAGCATCAACACCATGGCTTTACTATAATATTAGTAAAATTTTTAATTTTTCTTCGTTTTTGATATAAAGTCGACCAGCATAGGCTAGATTTTGCTGCGTACTTTAATTCCATAAAAGAGTTTGCATTTCTATAAAGTCAATTGAAAGATTACTTCTAACAAAGAACATCGATAAAACAGACAGATTTAGGATCCCCTTAATGATTGGACAATAGAGCGCGTGGATAAATATAGCGCGGGGGCATTAAAATTTTGATGAGATTCGAAATAGCAGCTCGTCTAACTTCGGGAGTGCACCTCTTAGAAGTGTCCGTGGAAGTAGGTACGCGCGCACGATCGGAAATTAGAAATGCGGAGGGAACGTCGATATATAAGTCAGGAAATTTAATTTTCTCAAAATATTCCGAAATCTCCGAATAGGGACAGGATCCCGAAATCGGGAACGGTATGCTAACGTATGAAAATCCATCTTCGCAAAAAAAAATGCGAGATATGCAAATGGAGCGTTATTCTGGAAATGCATTATCACGAATTGTCATCGGGGATTAAAAATTTCTCTCGCGTTTAGATCGCCGGGACACCTTCCGCGCGCCGGCTAATTCTCAAATCGTATTTTTCCTCTCAGGATTTTACATGCGTGGCTGGTGAATTTGGCGCGGTGGACGGGGCGGGGGATAACTCAAGGCGACGCGGGCGCGCTTCGGCACAGTGGATTTCACCGTCGCACGGCGCGGTGAATTTTTAATTTCGGCGTTATTATTTTCCGCGTGTCCGTGCCGTATTATCCGGCGTATTATCGCGGCGGTGATTGATGCGACTATCTTAATGCAGATTACATTGTATAATACTTTATCGATCCCGCACCTTTTTTCCGTCGACGATTATACGAACGGCATTATTATTCGCAAACATAAGTACGACCGCACCGGGTGACCACGAAGTTTTTGCCGTTTTCTAGTGCTCGCGGAGAGGAGAGCACAAAATTCATATCGCAACTAATTGTATTCAGCGGAGTAATTTCCATTTGATTCAATTATCCTCTCCCGTCTTGAATCTCATAAATACCTCCTTTCTAAAAAGTCTCTTTTCGGAACAAAAGAAAGTTTCTATAATAACCTGTACTTCCCTATCGCTCTTAAATCCTTGTTCACGCAAATTATTGTCAAGGGCCATAGAAATGAGTGAATAGGGCAGCTGACACAAAGTTTCCCATTTAAAGCCTTGAGTTGTCTCTGCTGTAACTTTGACAGCATGTGGGTGTTCTGAAAGGAAGAATACGATTGCCACAATTTTCTTTCTCGATGCCTCATAAATCTCCGGTCACTTTTTCGACAATTCTCACATGGTTTCGTTCGCTTTGATACATTTCAACAACAGCTTCGCTCGTTGTCTTTAAATAATTTTTCAATAAACGAATAGGTTTGTATTTATTAACTTCCCTACACGGAGAGAATTTTCTCTTCAAATTTACCCTGGAAAGCATGTGATCGTGGGACAGCGTGGCATTTTGAACAACTTTATGAGAGTTTTTGAAATTTTACCATACATTTTACTAGTAATTGTACTTAGTGTACATTTTATTAGTGAAATGTATGGTAAAATATCCAAAAAAACTCACAAAGTTCTTCAAAATGTTGTCCCACGTTGTCCCACGATTACACGATTCTCAGGATAAATTTTAAAAGAAAATTCTCTCCGTGTATTATGTGCAAATAAAGTCGAATTGTATGGAAATGCCCAAACAAAGATCTATCGATTAGGACTATTTCGATTCAATTTTCTCGTAGTTGAAGCGGCTAATATGAAATTGGCTTATGTAATTACGAGAAAATTTAATTGAAATAGGGGCCTATTCTGTAAACGTTAACCGATGTCATTACGTGCTTTGCGCAGATATAATATACCACGGGAAAGCTGCGCAAAGCACATAACGATATCATAAACGTTTACAAAATGAGCCCCAAAATCGATAGATCTTTGTTCGCACACTCCCATGCCATTTGATTATAACTTTACTAGTAAGAATGTGGGCAACTTTAATAGTAAAGTTATGTACTTATTCGTTTATCGAAAAATTATTAAAAAACAGTTAACGGGACGGAACTATTATTAAAATGTATCGATCGGAACAATGTGGACACATGTCGAGAACTGTTACAAAATTGACCGAAACTACTCCCTGTCCTTATTCTTGGGCGAGGTGCGCCTGGAATAAAAAATTATTGAAAAATGTTTGCAAGCCTCTAGCTGAACTCGGGAACCATGCAACTCTTCTGGAACTAAAAGTTTTGCTGTTTAAAACAAACTTTCGAAGTTCGGGTGCGAGCGATGAAAATTCAAAAATTATTTAAAATAAGCAAAGTGCCGAAACTATCGTTGTATCATATCGGGAACCGTAGAACTCTTCAAGAACTATAAAGATTCCATAGCTGAAATCACGGTTTACGGAAGTTGGGGCGCCAAACGGGAAGCTAGCGTAGTTAGCCTCGTATTTTCGCGGCGCTGTTTTCATAACCATTTCGACGGAACTATTGATAAAACCATCAGGGTCTCTAGAACTATTGCGAGTGCAAATAGAACTTGTATAAAAAACTTGCGGTGCCAATATATAGTTGAGGTGCCAACTTCACACACACACACGCGTGCACACACACACGCCACACTCGCCGAGTTAATTGAGTCGGTGCCTGGGAATGAGGGAGAATATCGACGGGCACGGTATCAAGTTTTACTCCGAATCCGGTTCTTTTTCGCGGGTGAAATCGGAGCGAGCCGACGCAGCGACGACGATGCTCCGCGTCGCCGTGCTTTGTTGTTAAGAATATCGCCGCTCGGATCAGATAATTATCGGCTGGAAATAATGGCAGGCGCGGAGATACTAGATTCGGCGGAACAATTACGTCAGGATATAGAACGACGTCCCCGCTGGCAACGAACGAGCCTCATTATACGGCAACCACGCTAACGATACGCGCTCGTAGTCCTCTTTTTTTTTTATTCAGTCACGTTTACTCCCTGGAAATTGCTGTTAAATGTTCTTAGAGCTTATTTCTCTCTTTAAATCGGGTAATAAGTCGACGAACCAACTTACGTTGCGTGCAATTGCACGCGACTGCCTTCTGGGACATTCTGAAGCGCGACAAGTCAAAGAAATGTTAATCCATTGGAGAACATAAATGAAAATACTGAAAGTTTCAGACGTGCGGTGCTTCGTTCTCATTTTCTGATAATCTCAGATTAGTACGAAGATCCTGATCGCTAGGCATGTTTAATATTCGCGTTGCCAAACGTATGATAAATTATTTAAAATTAAAAAGAATTTTACTAAAAATTGCATCTTCTTAGGGCGACATTTGGAAGCGTCTCTTAGCGGATAAAAATTTCCCACTTATATACGTACATACGCGCGTTACGTCCAAGGCGAGACCTGCGAATATCGCTCGATAGACTGAAAGAATTTCAACATCGAGTTCCAATCATCTTTGTACACGTGATAGAAGTTTGCCGACCGTTCTTTTTTGCGTCGTGAACTCTGCGCAAACACGCGTCGCACCGAGGCCGGGAGCCGGTAAAAACAAGCGCACCCTCCCTCGCTACAAATGCAGGCATAATGGAATTATATGGATCCGTGGAGCGGATTTAAATTTTCAAGCGCAGCGTAACGCACGCGCGCGGGCGCGGGCGCGGGCGCGGGATGGATCCGGGTGTTCGGATCTGTTTTATAATCCGTGCTATTAAAGTCGCCGTAGCATTTGCATTCTCCTGCTCGCGTGCCTCCGCTTCCGGCAATTTTTGGCCGGAACGGGGCGAGCAGAGGCGTGACGGGCGGAACATGAAATTCATGAGAGTACGCCGGGCGCGTGCTCCCCGTCCGAGCTTCGCCAATTATTGTCGCGAGGAAAAGCTATGCGGGATGTTTCAGCTCCGTTC